ATAACTGATAATTTAACAATATTCGTAATTAAAGAAAGGTATGTTGTTTTGTTTGATATAGTCATAGATTTCTTATGCTAATTTCAACTTTATGATTTACAAAAAGATTTGATCATTTTCGGAAATTGTAATCGGCTGTTCCAATCAAACTTAAATGCATTTTTCCCGTTCAATTGCCGTTTCCTTAGATGTTATTTGAGTACGAGATACTTTTATTACGAATGATTCAGTACGAAAACAGAACTACAATAGCACTGTGAAACAAAATGAAGAAAGTTTTAATGAACCTTTTAAGGGACTTAGCATAGGTGCGGTCACCATATTTATGGCAGCCGAATACGGTACACTATTTAAATATAGTTTTGCCAATTTTTCCACAAAACCTAGAGGATTTAATTACATTTTTCAATGCAGCATATTAATATTCAGTTGTAACATCACACATTTGCAGAATATTTTTCCATAACTTTATACTTTGTGCTCAGGATTTTTATCACGAAAAATTTGTTACAAACATTCCTAGGCAGCGAAACATCATACAAATTTCCGACTACTTTTCAGACTCGGCTTTCGGCTAAGCACAATGCAGTGAATAGCATCCGAAATGAGCTGAATTAGAAAGCGTACCCTTCCATCTTTGAGAACTTCTTTACTTTAGCAACATTTTCCTGGTAGCCTTCTTATTTGGAGTTTCTGATTTTGAAGATACAATCCCTCATACAACCAGCAATAATTTTAATGAATATGTTCTCTCTTCTCAAAATTTGAAAGTTGCCTCCTGACAACGGCACTTTGGGCTGGTAGTAGTACCTGAGAAAAAACAGATTGTTGGTTTTGGAATCCCTATATGTACGTAAACAAAGTAAAATCGACTGCTCTATTGCTGCTACCTGTTTAACCTGCTTTGCTTCACACAGTTGAAAAAACCCTTTGAAAAGCTAAATACTAGTGAAATGTCCTTTCGAAATTTGAACAATAACACTGGATCACAAATTTTAATTTGGTTTTTGTACTGCCAACCGCCTCCATCAAATTTGTATGTAGAGTCGCTCGCTGATTCCGAAAAAGGAGTTAATTTTTAATTTTATGTATACGTTTTCGAGATATTTGCAATTTACCGTTATTCAGCTTAATAAAAAGAGTGGTTCCACTTAATCACGTATATCTTACGAACCGATTAAATAGTCATAATACGAGATACGGCAGATGAAAGAAAATTAAACTCCATAAACTGTATTAACATAATTTTTTAATAGCCTTGATCGTTTCTGAGAAATTAATTAATCATTTCAGATTTTTTGTTTTTTTTTACCTAAAAATCAAAAAAATTCAAAGTTTAACAGGGAAAAAATTAAAAAAATAACAGTTTCTGTGTAAATGTTTTGCACTTGTGGTAAAGCCTGCTCCATTAAGCTACAAACGAAGGGAAGGACAATGGATAAATAAGAAAGTAATGATTTCTCAAATGAAAATGCGCAAGGATTTTTTTGTATAAAATATGAGCAGAAAAGAGTGTTACTCATACGCCATGTACACCTGAAAAGGTAGAGTGTTTGCATCGAAAGCAAGTGGTGCCAGAAATTGTTAATTAATTTATCAGAAAATATCAGGGCTATCGAAAAGTGATGTATATACGGTTTATGGAGAATTTTATTAGCTTTTATTTGCCGTATCCCGTATTACAATTATTCAATGGATTCGTAAGATATATGTGATTAAGTGAAACCACTCGAAGTTGTCCATAAAAAAAAACGATCTCGATTTTTGGAATCACCGAGCAATTCTACATAGGAATTGGATAGTGGCATCTACGGAGCAATTTTGCTGTAAACCAGTGTAATCATGAATGTCTAATTTCGATTCATACTCACAAATACCCAGTTTTTCTACGCCAAATTAAAGACTTCAGAAACCATCAACATATGTGCTCCTGGATTCGAATCCCTTGTTCGTAGGCATGCCATTTTTTATGAGCTGTTAAGGCGCCATAACACCAATTGACGAAAAAAGTGGAGTGGCCCCTATAAGACGGGACGGATGTTCACCGTAAGCATTGTCGCCGGCTTGTGCCTGAATTTTGGTAATCGTGATCAAGTTATCACTGCTTTTACCAAGTTGGATACGGAAGAAAAAGTAGGTATGCAGGTGAACGAGGACGGGGCGCAAGCAAACCGTCAATTATAATTTCGAAAATTTTCGTTTATTTAGCAATCAGCATTGACATCGGTCTATAAGTAACTCAGGATGACAAAATCCGAAAAGTATTGGAATAATTGGATTTGCGGACCTTTGTTTGTTGGCGGCGGCCTATACCGCAGATACAGCATAGCTGCATGGGCTCTACAACATAGCGGAGCCGCTGGCTCGGTCAGCAATGCTCCAGCCTTGAAAGTATTCATTGCGGTATCCGCTGGTGGTAGCAGAAAAAGAGACCTGTTCTGCGTAACCGGCCGTCTTCACGTGCTTGAAAATCTCGCTTGCGTGACAATGAAAATATTTGTTTCCATTTCAAAGGCAATTTTGCACAAAAAAATTGTAGAAAAACTTTTTCCATTTTGTCTCCTCTGGGAAAAATAAAATTAACACTGTTATTATACTTTCTACATGAATACTATTACTTTCTCCTTCCAAAAAATATGAAATTATTAATGGGGGAATTCGATTTCACTACAAAGAGAATAAATATTTGCTTTCATTCATTGCAAGGCGAATTTATGTATATAAGGTGGTGTTACTAGCTCAGCTGATTTTGTGTATGTGTTTCGCCGCACGGCTTCTGATATCAAATTGAAAAATTTTGTTTGAATTTCTACACACACTCTTACAGATTTTGACAGCTTATGCCGCCAAAGCAAAAACAAAATACATGTAAATTTTTGTTTTTGTACTCCTGCTATCACCTTATATTAATTCGCCTTGATTCATTGCAATAAAAAAAATTTCTTTGTCAAAATTTCTTAATACATACAGTGAATCCTCGGTATAACGAACATCGATGAAACGTAAATTCAGTATTAGGAAATGTTTGCTTAGTCACCTGAAAAAACCTAATTTTTGCGAAATTTTCCATACAAAATTGCATTATAGATATAACGAAGAAATGTTGAGCATGAAAATCTTCGGAATATATTGACGGTTAAAGTCCCTTTGGCAAAAGCCTCTGCATATCGAATTCTGAATATGTTCACGTTTAGAGTCAAATTATAAAAAACAAAACTATGCTTATAACGATTTTTTCCAAAATTTTGAATTTTTCGTTGCATTGAGGTTTTAACATTATATTTGTGATCCGACAAATATTTAGTACAGCTTTCATACAAAAAACATCCAAAAAATTACCGAAAACAGGCAAAAACGTTGATTTTTGTATGGAAATGGTTGCAAATACATTTTATTTATTTATTTTTTTACAAAAGTACAAAGAAAAAATATACCATTCACAAACATATTTTAGATTTTGAGCAACAACTGCAAATTGACTTTACATAGGGAAATTATAAACAAGTGAAGTAATAAACCAGATTCGTGTTCAGCGACCCCAAAAACATATAGCGACGAGGTTTGGTCAAAGGAACCTTTCATCAATTTTGTTTTTGTGGACCTGTGTTATTGTTCATGGACTTATATTATAAAAGACCTTTCATAATAATTATGTGGGAGAAAATTTTTTTAAGTCATCGATAACTATTATTATAAGACTTATATAATAAAAGTCTTTTCATAATAATTATCAGCGAGATAATTTTTTTTAAGCCTTGAAAGACTTTTATTTTGAGACTTATATTATAAAAGTCTATTCATAATAATTATGAGTGCGAAACAATTTTTTGAGTCTTAAAAGACGGGGCTTGTTCAGGACAATTTCGGGACTAGTTGCGGGCCATTTTGGAGCTAGTTGGGGGCCAGTGGGGATTAGTTTGTGGCCAGTTGGGGCTGAGTTTGGGGCCAGTTCATGACTACATATATATGTATATAATATAGACCAAAACTCCTCCCCAACTAGTCCCGAAGTAATCCCGAAATGGTTCTGAACAAGTCTTTTAGGACTTAAACAATTTTTTCACACTCATAATTATTATGACAAGTCTCAAACTAAAGGTCTATGAAGACTTAAACATATTTATCTCAATGATAATTATTATGATAAGACCTTTATAATATAAGTCTTAAAATAATAGTTATGGATGACTTAAAAAAA